AAGAGGGTTTTGCGGCAGAGATAAAGAGCTAATGTGTAAATGATTTGAGTTAGGTTAAGTTGTTGAAAAGTTTAGATTTGATTTATGAAAAAATTAATTACTTAAATTTGATTTATTTATTTAATTAAATCTAATTAAAAGTGTGAGTTTAATTCGTTAAAAGAAATTATGTTTGAACTTGATTTGTTTAACTCATTTATAACTTATTATTCTTTACTTTTATGATTTTTTTTAAAATTATTTTTTTTAACTTTATGAATACAATATTTAATAATCATGTTAATATTAGATAATTATCTACTAATAGAGAAATGTGCTTCAAATGTGATATGTGGAGTTAAATTTTTTAACTATAATTTTTCCATGATTGAATAAATAAAAAATCATATCTTATTGACTATTGAAAAAAAAACTTCAAAATTAATTTAACTTTTATTTTTTATTTTGAAGAGATAACAATTTTTATTTTATTTTATGAAGAAAAAATTGAATTTATTAATAAACCAAACTTGCCACCAAATGTATCAAAATTTAATAATAAAAAAATATGAAAACACTAAAATTAAGTCTATATATAAAATATCCACAATATTAATAATAAAAGAAAAGCACAACCCAACCACAATTATGAGTGTTTGTAAGTTGCTAGTAAATTATATAAATCTGTTTTCATAAAATAAATATCACACAAGTCCATGTACAAACTCACAACACAATTCACAACATTATTAAAAGGGCACACATACATATAATAAGTAATTGATGAACTAAGAGCAATAGTTGATGAATAATTTGACCCATTTATACCCTATTTAAAAGTGTTGGCTTGATTATTGCTTTTGTTGTTCTTCAAGCAAAGTCTTCAACATACTCTCTATTCGTTCAATGGAAGCAGCCATTGCATCCATTTTTTGTATGCAAGGTGTTAGCTTCACATCCAAATATGCCTTAATAGCAGGATCCAGTTCAGGTATCAAATTTATGTAACCATTTTCAATCATCCACTTGAGGCTCCAATGGCCGAACTTACACTTGTAGGCCCAATAGGCCCATCCAAAAGTTGCACGAGAATACACATCCAATTGTGCTTTGGCATAATTTTGATAATCTTCTTTGGTCGCACCATTTATGCTCCACTCACCAGTCCACTCTCCTGTCAAAAAATAATATATATATAAAGAAGTCAGAGAACAATTTTAAATATTTTTACAATGCCTTTTTATTTATTCTTCTCTTGTTTGTTGTGTTCTATAAACATGGTTTACAAATTCCATATAATATCTTAAAGTTGACAATCATATAGATTATCACATGTCTCAAGATAAATCTTAATATCATCAAGTCAAAAGACTTAATTCATTCTCCTACTTGTTTAATATGTTGATTATTCATATATTTTTTTTAAATGTTTTTTAAACATTCATTAAAAGAATTTATTATGTTTTATTTTCTTTGATTCATCATTTTAGGTTAGCTATAATATTACCATATTTTGAATCCTATGCCTCACTCTTGTTTTCAGTATACACTAGATATAAAATAGAATAAGATTAGTACGTTACGTTTTTTTTTTTTTTGAATTTTTTTTATAACATGCCAATCAAATATTTACTAAACTATTTCTAGATTATTAGGTGATTAAGTATTTATTTTTAAAAAAGAAATCCCTACACTGAAATCAAATTAGTGATTGTTTTACAACCTGATGAATTAAGTTACAACCTAAAATCAGTGATTGTTTATGAATAAAAAAAAAATGAATAAAAGAAATAGTGATTGTTTAACCTAATTAGTTACTTTTGAAAGATATTAGACTCCATTCCCTTAAAAAAAATTACGAGTTTAAGTTTTGTAAATAGAAAAAATGTAATTAAGAAAAAAAAAATCCTATTAAAAGTGGTTAATTAAATTCTGTGAAAGAAATAAACTATCCACAAAATTAGTATTTTTTTTTCATAAAAATGTATAGGACTATACTATAGGTTAGGATTAGGCATTTACCTACAAAACTAAGAGCTTTTGTGGAAGAGACGCCGCTAAGATCAGAGGCTCGATCATTTCTTATGAAGTCAATATTTTGCTGAACATTCATGTTGTTGAAATTACTCCAAAAAAGATTGTAGTAATGCACATCAATGACTACATTGTCGAAGCCTTCCACAAATGAGAGAAGCACTTTAGAATCTGCATCCAATGGGTTTGACATGATCACATAAGCATTTGGGTTGTGCTTCCTCACAGCATCATAAGCTTGCTTGTAATATTTCTTTAGGCTCTCTAGATTCACACCTCGTGGCTCATTCAACAGCTCTATTCCTCCTAAGTTTGGTCTGTTACCATATCTATCAACAAATTCAAGTATAAAAATATCAGTTCTTAAACTATAGCAGGTCATATATCCTCATGCTGATAAAAATATACTGTCATTTATATTAGTCCCTGGATGATGAAAAAAATGCCTAAAGCTAAGATTTTTGAATATCTATGCATTTCTTCACTCAAATTCAGAGACTAATTTGATTGATGGAATACACACTTAGTAACTATCTTTGACAATTAATTAAATGCATATAGACACCACATATAATTTCTATCATTTAGGGACGTAACATGACCAGACATTATCTTTCAAGTAATAAATCAACTTTATGTTTAATATATATATATATATATACAAAGGGACTTTTCTTTAGAAGTGAAAAAACCTTTCTGCTAAGAAGTCTATGACTTGGACCGTGTTTGGTATGTATGGATCTCCCCATTCTGTATAGCCATCTCTTGTGCCACTGTGGTCATTGCCATTTTGTGAACCTTCAGCTGCATGCAAGTCTATGATCACATGAATCCCATGGTTTCTGCAAGTTACAAAGAGTACATGATTTGCAATGCAACGTTGGTAATTTAGAGCTGAATTAAATGCTGCAAAATGGTTATATAACATTAAACTAACATATTCACCGGAGAAATTATTGTATACTACAAGACTACATGGTCTTGGTCAATCTCTACATGACATATATAATTACATTTTTCAATTTATAAGAAAGAGTTAATAACATGCCAAATGGAGGGGACTACATGATCTTGTACCATATTATAAATTCTCAACTTACTGTGCCCAAATGAAAGCATTGTCCAATGCTGCCAATGATCCTCCAACAAAAGGCTTTGGCGGGTTTGGATCTTTAGCTATCCACCATCCAACAGGTATTCTCACAGCATTTAAGCCATTCTCTGACATGAATCTGAAATCATCTTCAGTTATGTATGTACTCCAGTGATCCTACAAAGCCAGAGTATGAAGATAATGTTGGAATTCTAGCAATGAATTGAGGCAAGTCCAAGATGGTTTATCATTAAAAGTTTCTGATATTTCTCACCCTCATGACTTGAGGAGCTCTATCAGGACCATAACCATTAGTAAGCTGGTACTCTCCTTGTAAGGTGGTGTTTGGTACAATATTCATACGAAAGACTGATGGGTCACTTTCATTCCAATTTGTGCCTACATAATTTGCAGTCACTGATGTCTCCGATTGAACCTTCACATACACGATATAATAAGAAAAAGATTTGGTTGCCTAACTAATAATTGTTTCCATTAATTTGTCCAATGTTAATCAAAAACAAAAACTCCATCTTATTCATGACAGAAAAATGCTGAGGTGAGATGTATTTGCTATCAAGAGAATTGTCGTGGTCGATGGATTGGCAATTCTAATTATTATATATCTCGGCATCTTAACATTTGGTTTTAGGACTAAATTAATCCCAAAAAAGCTAACGTGCAATCCTCACATTATTTTAACCATATTATTAAACAATGTGAGATTCAACACACTGCTCTGGTTTCAATGACATGACATGTGAGTGGTCCCATAAATTAATAATAGTTATAAAGATAGTCTCTAATATCTTATGTGATGAAAATTGTCCTATTTATATATTATTTTAGTAACTAGTAAATGTGGAATGTCTAACAAACCAAAAGTATTTTAAGGCTTCAAATAAATAGAATTACTTTTTAACCTTTAATTTAGAGATCTGTTTAAGATTTAACGTTCGATGCAAGATTTTCCAATATCAATAATACGAAGATGGAGCATGTCTAACCTGTAAAAACAGACCATTTGATGCTTTGATTCGAACTTTGAAGGGGTCATCACTATTCCTTACAATCTCAAATGTTTCTGGTTTGCTAGGTGAGTTTGAAACTGCCACAATTTTGTTTCCACTGCCTTGATTTTCCAGCCCCACAAATTGCTTGTTGAATACTCTTAAATTGAAGGATGAGTCACTGACCCTCCACAGCTGCATATGAACAAATAATTGGCCTAAGTGAAGGTGATTCCTAATGCACATAAAATGTTATCATCATTGGCGTTAGATTCATGCAGTTGAAGTTACATAAGTACCTTGAATGTTTCCCAACCAGAAGCTACATCACGGTTGGCCACAACTGTAGTTCCACCCCCATCTTCAGAAGCGAGATACTTGTTAAACTTTGTGGACTTAAGTTGCACTTGAGTTCCATCCTGAAATGACCAAATATCAAAAACTTGTCTATTATCTGAAAAAAGATAAAGGTACCATGATATTATTTCCCTCATGAATATAACTTTAGAACTTCTTAATTTGAAGACTTTGGAAATTATTTATGCACATTAATTGCTAACCATTAAAAATGATGCATGGTGCTTTGTGAAATGATAACTAAAATTCCATAATCTAAATGAAGTGAATTCTTTGAGAGTAATAATACCAAGAGATCTTTGTTGACAATTCCGTCAAAGAGAGAGGGCTCTTGCATCCATCCCTCCACAACCAGCCAGTTTCCTAGATTCACAGCTTTGTATGGCATGATAGGCATTTGGAATGAACTTGAGGAATTAGTATTGCTACCAAAGGTTGTAAGCTAAAGTATAAATAGAGGATTGGTTACATATATGGATTTCTGTGGGCAAAAGATAAATATTATGTATGAAAATATCGCTTAAAAAATTTGAACAATTGGATTATGTCGGAAGAGTTCTGTTATTTTTTAAATGCAAAGTTATCCTATGCTTAAAGTATGGTTATACTTTTTAATAATTAAATACAACTTGATTACTGTTGTTAGGAGTCTCATGTCGGATAGAATATGAAGTTCACTATGATACTTAATTATGCGACTCTTTCACTATACTAGTATTTTGGGTTAAACTCTTCTCACATACCTATGTCATCATAATTGGTGTTCTCATGAATTAGTGATAAATAAATTTAACTGTGAAAAGGAAAAAAACTATCATCGGATAAGGACAAATAGAGTAAAAGTTAATGTAGATGTTGAGTCGTTGACTCTTTTAAGAATGTCAATGTTAAAATTCTCATATATTAAGTAGAATAAAAAACTCAAAATGTAGTATTTAATCTTGAAACTCTTCGTTCTAATGAACCAATCGTTTGTGTTTTTCTATCTTACAGTCTTAATTCCTAATAACTTCACGCAAAGATTTCCTATACATCCAAATAATGCATGTTGGTTTTATAATAATAATACAGCCACGGAATCATCGAACTTCAAAACAATCATGACTATAACAACTAGCCAACTTGCCTTGACACTAAGTCGATCAATATATCATACTTTAATCAACTTGTATGTAGAATTGGGAAAACCGTGACAATGAGTACAATGAATTTGAATGCAAGTTGGTTTTATAATAATACAACCATGAAATTATTGAATTTCAAAACCATGACCGTAACAACACAACTTGCATTGGAACCAAGTACTGGATCAATAAATCATAGTTTAATCAACTTGTATGGAGGAAATTGGAAAATCCGGAACAATGACTATCTAAAAGGACTAAAGTTCAAAGCATCTGTATGGAAAAAAAAAAAACTGAACTACTAAGATTCACACGGTTTTAATCAAATGAAATTCATATACTATGCCAAGCTGGTCCTACATTTTTTGTTTTGTTTTAATTTGGTTTTAAAATTTTAAAAGTTTTACTTTAGTATCTCAAAGGGTTTCTATATATTAACCTAATTAGTTATTTTGTCAAATTTGTTTTCGTACTAATAGTGTAAATTTTGGTTGATATGATATCTTTCACAATTTGTCACGTGTCATTAAGCTGACCAAATTAATTAATATAATAAATTGATAGAATGATCAACTTGGTCAAACAAAAATACTTTACACGAAAATAAAGTGGAAACTTTTAAATTTAGAAACCGAACTAAAAATTAAACTAAAGGACCAAAAATCTATTTTAGTTTATGCTTAACTTATCCAATATTAATGAAATAAAAAGCCATCATATTATTCTGATTAAAAGCACATTTGAACTTTGTTTACTGATTAAACTCCAAAATCATTTACTTGTAGAGAGACAATTTTCTACATCCAACCCAAACTACTAGTTTTGTATATCTCACATAATTTAGGAGGTTTTGTTGTGCAAATAAAGTTCTATTTTCTGATTCAACTAAGACAAGAAAAAAAGGAACAACAATCACATGCATTATAAAGCAAAAAAAAAAAAAAACTATATATGGAGGGAGGTGACCCTAATCATGACTTACTTATTCTTTATTACTTTCTAATAATTTGTCACTAAATTTTGTAAAATGTATACATTATGTCACTTCAATCCTAAATTAACTTACTAAACTTAATTGACACTAGTGTAAAATATTATTTCACTGACAGATTTTTATGTCGGTTCCAAATCACTTGTCATAGAATTTAGAGTGGTGACATATAATGTGATTTCTATGTTGGTTAAAAGCATAATTGAGCAACTGACTTAGGACTTGATACAAAAATTTCTCAAGAAGAACTTCTAAGAGAAAAAAAATAGGAAGAAAATAAAATGTTTTTCCATAAGCTAATTTGTGGAAACTTTCTCTTATTAACTCTTCCAAAATCTTATTTTTAAGCCACACAAAAGCTAGTTTTAGCTTGTGGAGAAGCTTATTTTGATTTTTCTTTCTATTTTTCTATCTTAAAAGTGTTTATGAAAAAATTTATCCAAATAGACCAATAGTAAGTCCTTTAATTTGTGCTAAAATCCAAAATTAGTTTGTGGTCCTATTCATATTGGTTTCTTTGAACCATGCCCTCACCCTCTCTAGATCTAATCTTCTAAGACATTGTGTGGTCCAAACACCTTCTCTAGATCTATATATATGTTATCAAGTTGATTTTAATTTTATTAGAAATCTAAGACAATTATTCCAAACTTTTATATTGACCTCAAGAACTAATTATGTCATTACTATTTAAAAAAAATACAAAATTGTCACATTTTAACCTAAATCTGACAGTTTAACTTTTAGGTGATTCCAATGGCATTCAAAAGCTAACATCCAGGACTACAACTCATATGAAGATTAGAAAACCTAATCCTAATAGTATCATGCCCAATATGCAACATTTATTGCACCCAACACAAAGAGGACAACACCCTCTCAGGAGTATCTGCTCCCAACGTGGCTAAAGTCATGCTTGGCACGAAATGATTTGACACCCATCACAATATTAATTAGTTCATGGGATACCTGCAAACTATGTGAAAATCAAAAAATACAAGCCTAAACCCTAAAACTCCAAACCAATCAATAAAAATCACAATTAAAGGTTAATATCACTCTATTATATGATCAATTACTCAAATTCAACCTCAATTTCACATTCTAATTACATATCCTATTGACTACTCACACAATAACCATTTTGGGTTTTCACTAAAACCTGCAGACACTCCAAACTTCACAATTACAGGTTCAATCACAAAATTAAAGACATATACAACTACACAATATCAAATAAAATAATAAGGAATCATACGGAATGCCAAAAACACATAATGCAATCAATTGGGAAAACTCCTTTCACACGATACAAGTAACATATAGAAGGGATTGGGAGGGCAATCTCACTACCCAACATACATTCCACGTCTATAGTAAGACTACTCACTTCCTCATTACTTCAATAAACAAGGCTTGAAGACCTCGATGAATAGGGCACAAATCTCCAAGGTGTTCTCCAATATATAGTTTCTAGTTCTTCTCCCAATTATTTATAGCATAAACGTGAAAAGAAAAGAGAAACATAAAAATAAAAGAACTATCATAACCTCCTTCTTAAAACCTTAACTCTTTGCTAACCAATAGTTAAATCTTTTTAATTCCAATTACAAAACCCTTACCTCACTTAATAAAATATATAAATCATTTAATTATAAAATCTTATAATATATTCCTATACATATAAAACAATTAAAACAATTATTAAAACCAATCCAAATAATTATAAAAAAAATACAATAATAGTAATTAACAATATATATATATATATATATATTAAAATATCATAAAACACATTTCTCCAATAAATATTATATAAGATAATTTTTGTAAATATTTATTATTTAATTAAAAATACTCATAATTATCAAAAGCCTCTAAAATATTTTATACATCTCCTTTAATTAATCAAAATATCCTTATAATAATTTTAGAAAATTTGGAGTGTTATAATTCCCACCTCTCTTCAGAAATTCCATCCCTGAAGTTTTGTACATAAATGAATATATATATATATATATATATATATATGTATATATATATATATATAGATATAGATAAAAGAAGGCACCAACATAGAGTAACAACAAGGATGTTTGACAGAGTAAGAAACAAGACTACAAGATGGACAACTTCATCAATTCCTTTTAAGTAAAGGCATGGATCAATGAAACATGGAATAAGTCTACATGGTCATATGTCAACTTATTCTAGTTAAAGAGTTCGGGATTTAGGGTTTATACCTAACAATATTAAATTTGAGAAACCAATCAACCCATTGTGTACAGTTCTCAAAGAGATTGATTTTTTTATTTCAATTTATCAAGTTGAGAGTAGTTGTATCTGTTTAATAGATTCCATTTTTCATATATAATATGCAATAAGGTAATGGATTATTTCACATTGCATTCTATTACAATAAAAGTAATATGACACCACTTAAATATTATTACAAAGTAATTTGTTAGATTTTAATATATGATGATTAGACAAGTTGTTGAAATTTTAAATTTTGATTTTAGGAGAAAAATATCTACTTGCAATTTACGATCTTTGACACAAATTAATTATTATTTTTAATAGTGAATATCATAATTATTAAAAAAAATATAATCACACCTATTATCATTTGAACTCAAAAGTTCCACATACATGTATTAAATTGTATTCAATTCTATATATTGAGTAACTTATCATTATAAATCGTATTAAATTTAGTTATATTTTAAGTTCAATTTTTAGATAAGAGAAATAAATTTGATTAAAATTAATGACAATTATAAAACAATTAATGAGTCAAAGAATTAGAAAAAGGATTCTCACTATTTCATTCTATAACAAAACACATAATCAACTATCAAACAAATTGAAATTGTGTTCAACTTTAGTTGACCTACAAGAATATAATACGTAATGAGATTGTTGTATTAATCAAGGTACGAAGATAAATTGAAATTAGATCTTTAAATACGAGATTGATGATAATAATCAAAACACTACTCAAAACTAAATGAGTATATGTCGTTCTTTTAATTAAAGTAAAGTAAATAAAATTAATAAAAGAAAAATTTTAGTAAAAAACTAGGAAAAGAATCAAATTAGGCTTCTATGTATCTATATAAACAGCACCAATTAACTTCTTTGTAAATTCATTCCAATAACAAAAAAGAACATAGAGAGAGAAAGAAAAACATAGTGAGAGACAATATTATTTTTATTTTCAAATTTTAATTGAGTTGTAAGTTTAGTGATTGTAAATATAATTTTTTTTTTCACTTTTTTAATATAAAATCTACCGTAGGGTCGAATGTAGGCTTAATTTGCCAGGTTT